TCCCTTCCTTCCTTTTTTTTTTTAAGAGATGGGTCTTGCTATGTTGCCCAGACAGGTCTTGAACTCATGGGCTCAAGCGATCCTCCTGCCTCAGCCTCCTAAAGCACTGGGATTATAGGCGTGAGTCACTGTGCCCAGACTTGAAACTAAAGATAGATGTTTCTTTAGCGACCTCAATATTTCCTCTGCTGAGGAAAATCACATAGTATCTCAAGGAATGTTGATGATGATTTATCATAAAATTCTCAATTTAGTTTAACTTAAAAACAACATATTCTAAGGGTTTTTGGTGAGTGGATGTGGTGAGTGTTCACACGGGAGGTGTGAAACCAAACCATGGAGGAAGAGTTTTTACCGACTTAGAGCTTAGGAGCCCATCTTGGTGATCCAGGGATGGATCTTCTTAGAGGTATATGCTATGATTTCTCCAAAAGGATGAATAAGGGACACATATGGAGAGAAATCTCACATAGTTCTGGAAGCTCATTCTTTGGTGCATTGAGCCAGAGTTGGCTCAAAGGAAGAACAGAAGAGTACCAGCAACCAAGTTCCAGAGGTATCCTCTTTCTAACAGCACCATTTTCTCTCCCAGGAGGGTCCCATTATTTCCGGCACTCCTCCTTCAAAATTATGCAGAGCAGCCGGGGTGGAGTCCCTCTCCTGGAGCCCTTTCCGTGGTGGGCTCACAACCGCCTCGCTACAGGACGGTGGGGGGGATGGTGATTCCCTGCTATGCCTGCGCTTGTAAATTTCCCCCGGTGGGATTCTACCTTAGATTATAGTGGTGCTGGTGAGATGTTTTAGCCATCTTTTAGCCATGTTCTTTGCACAACAAGAACATATGCAGAAAGCAGCATGAGCACTGTTTGTGAGCAGGGAAGAGGCACTGAGACACAATGTACTGATAACAAGAATGAGGAACTCAAACCAGCTTATCAGGAAAAGGACTCATACCCTCCAGGAAAGGGAGGCTGTACCATGACAAGGAGAGGAAGTTCAGGGTGTCAAGGTGTGTGTGTGTATGTGTGCATGTGTGTGTGTGAAACATTAGATCAAGTCACACGTTCTCTTACCTCGCTGGGCTTTGAGTCAGGGCCAAGCTTGCTGGAGAGCGTAAGTGTCTCAGACTCAGATTTTAGCTTCACGATCTCTCCAAACCACTTTTGGTATTGTTTGCGGACCTGGAACGTCAAAGGACATGGGAAGATCTTTTTTGTTAACATTGGACATGTGGAGAAAAGTCAGTGAGTCGGGAAGAAGACAGCGATTTGTTATTAAAAGACCTTTTCTCACAAAATGTGGCATATCCAATACAATGGAGTGTTATTCAGCCTTAAAAAGGAAGGAAATTCTGACACGTGCTACAACATGGGTGAACCTGGAGGACCTTACGCCAAGTGAAATGAGCCAGACACAAAGGGACAAATATCGTGGGATTCCACTTATACGAGGCACCTAGAATAGTCAGATTCACTGAGACAGAAAGTAAAATGGTGGTTGCCAGGGACTTGGCGGGGGGAAATGGAGAGTTATTGTTTAGTGAGGACAGAGTTTCAGTTTGGGATGACAGAAAAAGTTCTAGATGTAGATAGTGGGAATGGTTGCGCAGCACTGTGAATCTAATACCACCAAACAGTACACTTAAAAATGGGTAAAATGGGCCGGGCGTGGTGGCTCACGCCTGTAATCCTAGCACTCTGGGAGGCCGAGGCACGAGGATTGCTTGAGCTCAGGAGTTCGAGACCAGCCTGGGCAAAATAGTGAGACTCCATCTCTACAAAAAATAGAAAAATTAGAGGCCAGCACGGTGGCTCACTCCTGTAATCCTAGCACTTTGGGAGACCAAGGCGGGAGGATCGCTTGAGGCCGGGAGTTTGAGACCAGCCTGAGCAAGAGCAAGACCCCATCTCTACAAAAAACAGAAAAGTTAGCCAGGTGCAGTGGTGCATGCCTGTAGTCCCAGCTACTCAGAGGGCCGAGGCAGGAGGCTTGCCTGAGCCCAGGAGTTTGAGGTTGC